AGCGAACAGCGGCGGCGGCGGCAGAGCGTCTCTTGCACCCCGGCGGCCGTCCCCAGAGGGCCCCTCTTTGGCTGCCTTAGAGACGGAGGCTGAGGAGGCCGCTGCGCCGCCACACCGAACATCTTCGCCGCGCGGTTCCTCATTATCTGGGAAGAACATGGGTAAGTCATCCTTCCCTGTTCTTTGACATTCTCCTCAGTGTATTTCAGTACTGGAAGCCTTTTTGTCGCGCAGAGTGCTGGGTTTCTCACGTCCTCGCGTGTCAGGTGGTGGCTTTTTTCCTGCGGAGAGAGGGCCATGCGAAACGCCGGGGCCGGGCTCTGCCCGCGCTTTGGGGCAGAAGCTGGGTGGGCTGGGCCTCGGGGTCCGCCCGGCCACCGCCTTGGGCACACCTGCCTCCCTTCTCAGCTCTTGCCGCTGCGCGGTCTGGCCGGGCGAAGCTTGCCTCACCAGCTTCTCCGGCGCTTGGCCCTCCCTCCATCCCGGTTTATGGGCCTCTGGCTCTGCAAGCTTAGATACCTGGCTTCCTCCTCAAGAACAACCCTTTAGCCTCTCTTCTCAGTTAGGGCGACTATCTCCAGCGTAGGGACTGCCCCTTTCGAGGCGGGTAGCAAGTGGTTTGTGAGGACGATTTTACGACCTCTACAGAAAGCATTTTCCATGGGGAAAGCAGACTGCGTCTTAGGTTGGGAGGATGACTTGTCAGAGGCCACGGGGAACGCGAGGGACGACGGGTACAGCCGCTAGTTGTGGGAATTGGTGTAGAGCGATTACAGTGTGCGGTGTGCCTGCGTGCAGCGCGTTTTCTCGTTTCCTTCGTCTATCTACGGTAGCAGGAAATTATACTTTGTATGAGGTTACTCAACTTGTTATTCTTTTCTGTTCTTTGTCTAACTCTGAATATTACAATTTTAGTTTTTTTTTTTTTGTATTTATAGTTAATATCAAATGATTATTTGGGTACAATACTTAAAAAGGCAAGTGTATTTAATAAAAGTACATATAATAATAATTCTAAAATTTTTTCCTGTAATATATTTCTTAGCTGTTAAGGTTAGTTATTACACAAACGTCTGGTGAATTCTGTAATGCAATGAGAAAGATTTAAAAAAAGAAATGATTATTTGGAATACCATACTTCCCCATATTTCTTCTTTAACATTGATTTTCACTGTAACCTGCCAGCTTGGCTTTCCCACCTCTTCTGCTCAAGTTACTTTAAGCTTGAGATGAGTGAGGTCCTTTCAACTGTCAGTGTAGTGCTGGAGGTGTCCAGCAATTAAGATTATTGCAGGAACTATCTAAATCTAGAAATGAGATATATGAAGCTTACTCGAAGAGAAGATATTCTTTGCTTTGAGGAGGAGGTGGTATGCCTGAAAAAAAAAAAAAAAAACAAAAAACCTAGGGTCCTGATTTTATTTCTTTTTTAAAGTTTTTTTTTCTTTCAATGTATTTAAATTTCTGTACAAATTAGGTGGCCTGTTTATATATACCCAGCTTTCTGTAGAAGTAGAATTTCAAGTAAATACTAATTCAGGCTATTCTGCACATTACACCTTTCTGTTGAACATAACAAAAAGTTTCTTAATTTAGGCCACAGGTTGGACCTAAAACATAATATTTCCCTATCTCCCATAGTGAGCTTAAAATAATTCACTAACTAAAACTGTAATTTGTAAGTTGAATCAGAACCAGTAAAAAAATCTAATTCTGTTACAGTGGTGGTTAATAAAAATTTTAAATGGAGTTACTTATTTAAAAAAAAAATCTTGAAAACTTGACTGTTATTGGTTGATTTAAAAAATGGTAACAAATACTGATATCTTGTTTGAAAATCTCACATTGTCTTGCTTAAACATAGCACTGTAGCTTGTTGGCAGTTTTATCATTTACATAGTTTGCCTTATAATGGAGTGTGGAAAATCATGTGTTATTAATATTTATGTGTTCTGCTCTCCAGGTATTTAGTAAATCTTGGTAATTTAATTGCTGAACTGTTATCTTCTGCTTGTGGAACTGAAAGTATATAAATTTTGAACCAACATTTGTGTTGATATTATGGAGGTATGGACAAAGTGGGAACAGAGAAGTGTCATTTTACTCTGACTACTCACCTCCCAAAAATAAATATAAAAGAATGAAACCGAAACCCTTGGGTTGTCTGAGAAGTGTGGGCTTGGGGGCAGTTGTTATTCAAATCTTTTCCTTCTGCTCTGTTTTCATTGGACAGGCAGTTTAGGGTGTTATTAGTAGGTGCATACAATAATGTAAAATTGAAACCTTGTAAAACAGTTTTGTATTCTGAGTCAAGAAATTAATTGCAACAAGTCACACACATGTAAAATGTAGAAAGGATGAATGGTAGGGGGAGCTAAAGCACTTTTTTTTTTTTTTTTTTTTTTAGATTTATTTATTTATTCATACAGAGCTGGGGTACAGGCCAGAGGCTCAGGGGCGGTGAGAGGCTTCACCAGAGACAGAGTGGGGAGCAGAACAGGCAGATCGATGAAGTACACTGCTGAGGGAAGCAGCGGGCGGGTCAGGAGAGGTCTGGCTCGCCATGTGGTCTCCTCTGGGGCAGGCGGCAGGCGGGAATCGAACTCATGCGGAAGTGGCTTCAGATTCTTAGTGCTGCGCTTTAACCCGCTGCGCCACCAGGGAGGGCCTAAAGCACTTTTTATCATTTCAAGAAATAAATAAGGTGATTTGTAAGAATAATGTGACATACTTATTGACTGGTTTTAATTAAGGTGAAGAAAGTTTCCTGTATAATTTTAGAAGTTTAGTTGTTTTTTGTATATCTTTTACATATATTGAAATATTTATTGAATATCAAGTATGTACAGTATTTCAAGTTGCTTGTTGTCTTAGCAGGAGTGATGTGACATATACAAGGAAAATAATAAAGATAGTGCATAAATGATATAAAATGCCTTTACATATGCTCAGGGGATGGGGAAGTGGTTTTAGAAAAATGTTATTTGATGTTACTTGAACTAAAGCCTGCTTAAGCTTCCGAATGATAAAAGTAAATGGATACTGTTAATCAGGATTGGGGAGGAGGGAGAGAAATGACACAAATGAGGATAGAGGTTGGGAACATTTATAGAGTTTAAGGATATGATTGAATGGCCTTGTTTGCCTGCAGCAAAAGTTAAGGAAATAATGGGTGACAGAGATGAAAAGGTATTTTAGATAAAAATGACATAATTGGGAACGTTAAATGCCAAGTTGTAGAAGTTTTTGGACTTGATTTGTTTATTGAGGAACTGTTTAAATATTTATTAGTTAAGCTTTGGATCTCATATGTAAAATAGGAAACTTTGTTGGTTGAGTGCAGGATGAACTGGATGAGAAACTATGACCACGTTAGAAGGTGGTGCAGTTTGGGTGAAAATAATCAGTGTCCTAAAGTAGGCATTGGCAATTGGAATAGAATATTGCAAATTATAAGCTGGGTTATTTCATAATGGTTTGAATCTGGAGTTGAAAAAGGATCACAAATTATCAGGGCATTGAAGAGCATGCAGGGTATGTGTGTGTGTGCGCCTGCGCATGTGTGTACACATCCATATATATTTCACTTATTGGAAGAAGAAGCACCGATAGTCAGTTTTGAACCTGTTGATTTGGGCTATTTGAGCTGCATCTAGAGCCTCTGCTTCTTGATGACTTTGTTACTGAATCCATTTCTGATACTAGTGTCTGGTGTGTAGTAGATATGCACAAAAAATATGCCCGCTGACTAAAGCTAAGTTAAAAAAAAAAATAAATAAAAGTTATTGGGGCCTCCCTGGTGGCACAGGTGTTAGTTTCAGTACTATCAAGCTATAGGCTGGCTGTCCCAGCATCAGTTCGATTCTCAGCCAGGGAGCTAGCCCACAAGGCACCATAGGCCTCACCTATCTCACCTGTTGCTCTCTCTGCAGTGTATTTCAGTAGATCCGCTTATTCTGCTCTCCACTCTGTCTTTGGTTATGCCTTTTACCTACTCCCTCCAACTCCACTCTGGCATATACCCCAGCTCTTGCATGCATGCATAAATAAAAATGAATCTTTTAAAATATGTAAGTTATTCTTAAGAATGGATTTGTACTTTACAGAGATCTGGTAGTTACCCACAAATATTTGAAGCTAGGTAGATGAGAGTAAAAAAAGAAAAATAAGTAAATTTGTTCAAGGTGGGAATTTTGTGGAATCCCCTTTTCCTTTTGTAAAAAAGAATGGGGTGATTTGACAGTAAAGATGACAGAAGTAGGTAGGAGTGAAAGGCTAGAATAGATATGTGGTAGCTTTAAGAGTGAACAATAATGTCTGTTGCTTCAGAATAATCAGAGTAAGAAGGGCTGGGGGAAGGCTCTTGGTTGATGTGATTTGATTAGTGTATTATCCAGTATATTTACTAAAAATCAATTTTAAGAGGTTTATCGATATAAAGACCCAGTTATGAAGACTAGCTAATGATAAAATAGAGTTTATAATGTATAGTTACATTCCTTTGCATAGTTTTCTTTTAGCGTTTTAAAATGTTGTACTTTGTTGGACTGATTCTTGCCTGAGAATAATTGTAATTTCACTGTAGTGCCTCATATTTCTTTGATATTTCCATTTTGTCTTTGTGTCTTAGTACAGTACATTTTTACTGGTGCACATATACTACATTTATATGTGTGTGTGCGCACGCGTGTGTGTACACACACACACACACATTTAATGTAGAAGGAGTCTAAATTACTCTCGTTGAAGGCAGAGTTACCTTCCAAAATCTCTGTAGTGTGACTTGGAAAGCCTTTAATAGCCTTGACAAGTTCTAATAATTCACTTTGAGAACACAAAAGTTTTTACTTTCACTATGCAATATTGGGAAAAGTGTGGTTCTTTCCAGAGGTTCCAGATCACTTTAATTTGAATTTGGCAATTTTGAAGGCATTGCAGTAGCCCTAAGAATATGCAATATATTACTACCAACTTGTAGAGGTCAGAAGGAATGGAGAGGGAAAAGCCGCTTCTTTGGGGACTCTATTAATTTTAAGAATGAAGTATTTGAATAGTTGGAAAAATAATTTTAAATACTTTTAACTTGGCTCTTGTGGAGAGGAAATGATAATAAATGAAAGCGTCAGGCTAGGTTAACACTTATTTAGTTCTAAAGTTCTAT